CCTTAGGTAAAATACACACTTAATAAACATTTAATGAGTTCTAATTTGGAATTCTCTTCATGGCCAAAAACATTGTCATCCTGATGGAGAGCTTCAGTTGCCTTAATACCAAAGAGTGTATAACTTGGGAATTTCAATTACCAGGAGAGAGAGTGGGATAAGATGCTTTGGTAGGAAGTCCTTTCGGGCTATCCCATCATGCCTCTTTTTTGTTATATAAAGGACAGATTCTGGGGGGGGGGAGGTTATATAGCTCAGTGGTAGAGCATGTGCTTAGCATGCATGAGGTCATGAGTTAAATCCCTAGTATTTCTCTTAAATTAAAAAAAATAAATAAACTTAATTACCCCCATCGAAAAAAGAGAAAATAAGTAATTTTTAAAAATAAAGGACAGATTCTGGGGGGAGGGTATAGCTCAGTGGTAGAGCATGTGTTTATGCGTGAGGTCCTAGGTTTAATCCCTAGTACCTCTCTTAAATTAGAAGAAAAAATAAGTAAACCTACTACCTATCCCCCAAAAAGAAAAAGAAAATAATTTTTTTTAAAAAAGACAGATTCTTAGAAAAATAGGAATCATGCCAATTTAATGCAATTTTAAAAAGGATAGCTTTTGAGGCAGGCGGAACAGGACCCCTATGGGAGGGCCATCCTAATAGCCTTAGTAGCCGTCTTATTCTGGGTAATTTTCTTGCCTCTCTGAGCCTCAGTTACCTGGTCTGTAAGATGAGACACAGTAGCCCCTGGGCCGGTCTTTTGTGAAGTTGAAATGAGATCATCTGTCAAAAGAGCTAGGATGGAGCCTCGGGGATGTGGATGCCTGTTCATTCCCCCACTTCCTTACTTGAAGGAATTCCCACATCCCTGCCAGACGCACCAAAGTTCCCATGACACTGAAGCTCTGAAATTCTCATTTTTAATGACACGTGCTTTTTTTTTTCTTTTTTGCTGTGAACTTCTACATGTTTGCAATTTCAAAGGCAACATTAGTGACACCAGTAAAAATCCTTTCCTACACAGTGTGACTGGCAGGTCCTAATGAGCTGGGGGTGGGGGTGCAGAGGGAAGCACCCTGAGTATTAGCATTTCTGGGAATGTTGAGGGGTTAAAAAAAGGTTATTTAATTCTTCAGCACCTAATTTGGTTGATCAGGTGATAGGTTTGAGATCGTATGGGGTTAGATTTCTCTGCTTTCTCTCTGCTTCCCAAGGTTCCTGGGTTCCCAGATTATTTAAATATTACTTATTAATCAGTAGTGATCAGCCACGAATCCCAGGTTTGGAAAGGACAGCTCAGAAAGGTAGGGGCTGACCTGGAAATAAACACGTAGCAGGTGGCTCAGCAGGGATGCCCCATGATTAATATAGGTTTCTTGGTCCAATTTAGCTGTGAAAGGTAGAGAGATGGTTCCTTCAACTGATAACAGGCTCTTTTTTTTTTGAGGATTTCTTTTTTTAATTAAAGTATAATCAGTTTACAATGTCGTGTGAATTTCTGGCGTACAGCATACATGTACATACATGTATTCCTTTTCATATTCTTTTTCATTGTAGGTTACTACAAGGTATTGAATATAGTGCCCTGTGCTGTACAGTAGAAACTTGCTGTTTATCTATTTTATATATAGTAGTTAGTATCTGCAAATCCTAAACTCCCAATTTATCCCTCCTCACCCCTTTCCCCCCTAGTAATTATCAGTTTGTTTTCTATGTCTGTGAGTCTGCTTCTGTTTTGTAAATAACTTCATTTGTGTCATTTTTTTTTAGATTTCACATATAAATGATATCATATGATATTTCACGTTCTCTTTCTGGCTTACTCCACTTAGTGTGATGATCTGTAGGTCCATCCATGTCACAAGCACACTTAACTAAGCATCAACTATATGTCAAGCCCCAGAAGGGATAGGAAAAGGGCATAAAAAAGAAAAAAAGGGATTGGAAAAAAGGGACCAAAAAAGACCCAATTTTCCTACCCAGGAGCATACAGAATAGACTGAAAGGCCATACATGTTTGTAATTTAGTTGTCCTTCCTCGCTCTATCAGAAAATAGGTTTCCTACTCAGAAATAAGTAGCGGGGAGGTTCCACACTTGGAAAATTAAGTAATGGGTGAACTTCTGCTACTTTGAAAAACTGCATTTCTTTTCTTTTTGTTTGTTTGTTTGTTTGTTTGGAGGTGGGGGATTCTCACATGAAACATCGTTTAAGAACTGCAGATGCTCATTGGTTTGCTTGGATCTTGAACGTAGGATAGTGGTTCTCAACTTCAGCTACATGTTGGAATCACCTGTGGAGCTTTAAAAACTATTGATGCCTATGCTTGTCCCTTGGAGAGTCTGATTTAACAGCATGGGGATTGGCCAGGGTAACAGGAATTTTTAGAAGCTTCCTGGTTGATTCCAGTGTTCAGCCAAGGTTGATACCATGGATATCTGTCAGTAAGAGAGACTGAGAAAAGAGAGGTGGCAGGACCCTCATAGAGAAGCATCTCTCAAGTCACAGTCTTCTTAAGGACTCTCTTTCTGAACCAACAGAGGCATTTGTCCCATTTAGAGTCTTTATGAGCACATGTGGTTGGATGAGTTTCCTAGGAGACCAGAAGCAAGGTTAGGCCACAGGAAAATCGCAAAACCAGGAGTGTTTCTTTTCAGTGTCCTTGTATTTCTCAAGGAGTGTTCTCCCAGGGCTTCTGTCCCAAAGCTCTCGCTGCCTCCTCCCTCCCCCATGGCCCATCAACGTTTCTGCAGTGTGGTTTGGGAACCATGGATGCAGGAGGAAAAGACTGCGTACTGTGCTGAGGATGAGACTGGGAGGAGTGGGTGACACACAGGATGCCGTGGGATGGGGGGTCCTGAAGGGGCTTAGGATAAACCATGGGGCCCCACAAACTGCTGTCTTCCAGGTAGACATTCTTGGTCACAGGCTGTGGGTTTTTTCCTCTCTCAGCTTTCCCTCCAATCTCCTTTCTTTTCTATGAACATCTTCCCGTCCTGTGTTTCCTATCTTCTGGCCCAGCACCAGGTGGTAAAAGTTGGTTAGTCCGAACAATGATTTGCTACCTTGGCTGCACATTTAAAATACCTGACGGGTTCTTTTAAAAAAAATGCTGCTGCGTGGGCCCCACTCCCAGAAATTTTGATTCAGTTGGCCTGGAGTGGGTATTAAAAACTCCCAGATGATTAAAACGTGCAGCCAGAATCGAGGATCCTTGCTGGAAGTCAGTCACGATATTTCGGTTCTCCTGGCTAATGGCTGACTGACGATTGGGCAAATGCCACTACTTTGGCCAGTGAAACATAAGAACACAGGGATGGGGGTGGTTAGAAAAAGTTTTCCTTGCCTGTATGAAGAGGTGTCCCATCTTAAAACTTCATGGTCTTTGGAGTTGTTGGATGAGGATGAGATTCCTGGAGCCACTGCAGCTATCTTTTGACTGTGAGTATCCTTGCCCAGGACCTACATTTCTATGATGAGAATTACAAAGTGCAATGTTAAATGGAAACTAGGTCTTAACATCATTTAGCTGCTAAATCGATCAAACTGAGAAGTCCTTGTCCTCCAGGCTTCTTGCTTTGCAGGGCTGCCTGCCCTACCCAGCCTTCCAGCAGGCCCAGGCCAGAAGCAGATCATGATCCTGGGCTTGGGGTGTCCAGAGAGGCCTTTGAGAGCACACCCTGCTTGGCATGCACCTCTGTGGAGTGCGAAGGGCTCCCAGCTCTGATGAAGCCACCCACCCACCACCGAGGAGCCTCCAAGACCCAGTACCCTTGCTGGGCAGGCCCCCTGGAGAAGGGCTGGTGAAGGGGTGTCTGCTGCTGGGTGCTTAGTGCAGTGGATCCAGACCATGAAAGTTTGTACAGAGTCAGGCCAATTCAGGCTTGAATCCTCGCTACTGTTTGTGTAAATTGAGTCAATCAAACTGTGCCTCAGTTTTATCATCTTTATGATGGGGTTAACATCTACCTCAAAGAGTTGTTGCTCTAGTTCATTTAATGGGTTTAGCACAGCACCCAGCATATTGTAAGATTTTGCTATTAGCAAGTGGCAGTTTTTACTGTTTCTTGAGATACTCACTCTCTTGATGCTGCAGTGAGCAAGAGGTGAAATAATTAAGAAGAATGAGAAGAGAGATGGTTGCTTCTCGTAGGCCTGACTACTGCTTTAACAGTTTAGAGAGACTGGAGTTTTCCCTGTAGTTGGCTCTGCCCAGAATCTATCAAAATAATTTGAGCCTGATTTGCCAAGTCAGCACAGGCGCTGGGCCCGGTGTAACTGAACCCTGTTTCCAGCTCAGCCAGCTGCCTACTTGATTGATGCCTGCAAACCACAGCTGCTCGGTGCCGGTTATGCAGAGGCACACCTTCCTGAAGGCCGCACCCCATCAGGGCAGGGGCTGTGGTGGGGAGAGAGGGGATGGGTAGCCAGTCAGAGATGGGTTCCTCCAGTTCTGGGGGCTGAGCCCTGGAATCCAGTGTCGCCTAGATTTGTAGTGCTAGTCACACAGGGCACGGGCCCTCCCCTAGGGCCGGCTGTCTACCGCAACTTGTCCCTCAAAGCAGAACTGGGTGTGGGTATAAAACCGTTGTCTCTAGCTCTCCGAAAGCCTCCTTGCCTTGTACCCTCCCCGTCCAGCCTTTTCTTTCTTTCTCCACATCTGTGGTCCATCTCGGTGCCCTGCCAGCTTCTGCCGGCTCCGCGTGACTCTAGGACATTCTCTTTTCCACCAACACCCAGGCTCCGAATGCCCTACTCCATGTCCTTTCTAGCTCTTCTGCCCCTTTTGGGATTCCATCTTTCTCCAGGAAGCCTGCTTCTGGCCCCTCCATGAGCACCTCGCTTCTTGAATTATGAAATGTGCGCCCATCGCCGCTGCCCACCTCCATCGCTGGGACGTCATCCTCCGCGTTCAGGCTGGATCTCTCTCTGCTCCTCTGAAGTTCCTCCATTCTCACACCCTCCCCTCCTGCAGTGTTGCTGCCCTGCTCGTTTGTTCTCATCACGCTTGTTTTATTCTTATGTTCCCTTTAATGTCTCTGCTTCTGGTCCATATTTAGTTCCAGTATTTTCCTCTCCTGCCTTCATGGGGGTTTTGTAGTATTACTTTATCAACCACCCTTTCTCCACACCCTTTGTCTCTTTCTCTCTAATTCTTTTTCATCCATTTTTGAAGATGTTCAGGTTTCTATTTAAAAAAAAAAAAAAAAGGACATCTACCCTCCGTGAATGTTCCCGTCCCATTTTAGCTGGGCCTCCCCTCTCCTCCATGGAGAGTGGTTCAGACTCACTGTCTCTCCTCCCTCACCTCTCACTGCTCTCCACCCACAGTAGTCTGGTCCCCCCTCACTACTTCTGAAACAGCCCTCCCCAGGGCCACAGCGACCCTTGGTGTTTAAATCCAGAATCGCCCTGAGGCCGTGCAGCCTTGGAGAATGGCTGAGCTCTGGAGTATCAGCCTGAGTTAGGACCCAGAGCCACCATTTAGGAGAGGTTTGGTCTTGGACAGGTTCCTTAACTCTTTCAGCAGACTTGAACTTGAGGGCAGGGGCTGTTGCTTTTGGGGGGCCTAATAATAATCGTAGTGAACATTTACTGCAGGCACAAAGGGTAGACCTACTCATTGGGCTCTATGTGCTTTGTGAGAGGGAGCTCAAAAATATTTGCTGAATGAATGAGTGAATTTAACCCAAAGAGTCTTAATTAGATCCTTTAAATTCCCACTTCCACATTCACCCCTCTTTCATCCTCCAGGTTTATCTTCGATTAAGAAATGATTAAACAAAGGCTATCTTCCTAGTGTCTAAATTTGAGCTAACTTCTGAATTGACACCTTGCATAGACAATTTGAATCTCCCCTGTGATTGAGCAGGAGAGGTACTTTCGGAGCACCTGTTTATAGGAGAGTCGCATCTTGGTATTTGAATTCACGATGGTTAAATTAATATCGTTCTGCAGTGAAAATTTGATCATTCTGAGTGTGATCAGGTTAAAACAATTAAAAAAAAACCCCAAAACAAAAAACTCTGTAACCCAAGCCCTTCTCTGCAACTTGTGAGAGTAGAAAATCAGGGGTTAAAAAAAAATCCATCTCAAGGTCCTAAAATAAAGATCTTTTCATGGGAAGAAAAACTATAAAGATAAGCAGGTAGGCTGAATGGGCAATTAAAATCAAACAGTTGGGTGTCTTAATTGAAGTTTCATTACCCTTGTCCTTGGAAGTAAGTGGTTGTAAACGTGGGCTAGGAAGTGGAGGATGGGACCTTAATCAGTGGATGAGGGCAGGGGGTTGCTGGTTGCACAGCCTGGGGGTGGGGGAGTGTGCACAGCAACTAAAGCAGTGGGAGCAGACGCCTGGTTTTCAAACAACTTGCAGTTTCTTTGAGGAAATTAAACTAACCCTGTAAAGAGCAGAGCATTTGACACAAGTCAGTATAATTAAGTGCTAAATCATGGCACAGATGCTAAATGCTAGCAGAGACCACATGAGAAGATCTATGAGTCCTGGAATAGCCTGCAAACTCCTAGTGGGGTGAAGGGTTGGAGCTGAATCTTGAGGGCTGGGAGAAGCTCCTGTGACTCAGGGCTAGAGAAGCCAAAAGGACGAGTGAGGGGTGATGGGCCGGTATCTTAGAGTCATAAACACTAGATCTGTGGTGCCCCTTTTCCCCTGGCTTCTCCTTGGCCAGAACTCAGTCCACACGTCCCTGGGGGGAGCTCATGTGTGTTTCTGACTTTGCTGGCTGCCTGGGGGCATCTTCCTCTCCTGCCCTGCCTTCCACGCTGCTAGGCACGGGCTACTCTGGTGACCTCAGGTCTTCCAGCCAAGACTAGCTTACACTGACCCTTCTACCCCTTCCTCCAGCTGCCGCAGGGTTATGCTGGCCACCTGTTTTAGCACTTCTTTCATGTGACCCCCTGGTGATTGGAAGACCCTTTGTAGGACTCTGGGACAAGTCCTTAAGGGGCTGGATGGACAAAGGAGAATCGACACCAGCTTTTAGATTTGCTCTCCCTTCTGATTCCCAGCCTAATTATCCAGATCAAGCTTGGACACCACACTCACCCCCTATGTTAGTTGTTTTTTCCCTAAGAACTCATATTAGTCAAAGCTCTTTGGGTTGGATGAGAGAGAGAGCTCACTCGGCCAGATGTAAAATAGAAGTTCATGTATGGCTGCATCCAAGCGTCCAAGCATCCCAGCTGTCTCTAGGAGGCTGCCCTCTCTCAGGCACAGTTCTCTCAGGCTGTTTTCCCAAGTGGCAGCAAGGATGGCCACCAGCAGCAGTAGGCTTCTGCCTAAGCAGCTGGCCATCCTGCCTAAGCAGTCCTTTTCACAGTGTCCCGGGGAAGAGACCGCAGAATTGATTGTGGTTTGTCTGCCTCCGATCCTCCACCCAGCCCTGAATCATTTTGGCCCAAGGAAATGAGATCCCATCATGGACCAGGACTAGGTCACGTGCCCAGTGGAGGTGGACTGTGGTCAAGGGATTTCCCTAAATGGGAGATGGCGGTTCTGTAACCAGAAGAAAGAATACAGATCAGGACCAGACTGCATCTGCTGTAGAAATGAATGGTGGCCCTTTCTCATTGCTCCCTTACGCTCACTTACCCTTTAGAAATGCTCAGAGGCTGAGCTGAGGTTTCCAGATAGGAGGTGCACTCTAGCTAAAGCAGAGACAGATGATGTTGGGGAAAATGGAAAATAAGATTATTTTCAAAGAATTTGGAGGAGCTTCAAAAGCCTTCATTTCCTCCTCTCTCCGCTGGTCCCCCCAGCCCCAGCCCCCTGCCCTGTGGTGGCAGCTGATCATGGAAGCTTTTGTGATCGCCCAGTTCACTGGTGGTTTCTCATTTCATTGAGCAACACCTTGGATTCCCAAATGAAAAAAGCAATCAGGAAGGTTTCAGAGTATTGTGGAGAGAGAGGGAAGGAGAGCTGTCCAGGCGTTTTCAAGCAGAGCATTTGCACAAGGACAGAGTGCCAAGCTTGCAGCAAGGTTGGCAGACAGGGCCTCTGGCGGGCGGAGTGACAGGAAGGTAATCAGAAGCACTTGCCACTTTCCATTGAGGAGTACATGGGGCCAAATGGAAGCAGTGCCTGGATGGCAAATTGTTTCTTGCTCTTCCTCTGAACTTCAAGATCCATCCCCCTGGCTTCCTCCCCTCTGATGGATGGATTGACGAGCTCAATGGGCCAGGAGAGGACTCCATAGCCAAGAATCTGAGCCCTATTAGGGGCTTCTCTGAAGCTAATTGAATACGATTGTCAGCTGCTACTGATAGAGGGGACGAGGAAGAACAGAACCACCTTTAACAAGGGAACTTTCAGGAGCTGAGAGAAAAACCAAAGGGTAAGAAAACCCTCTTGAATTTCAATGCAACATGTTTGGGGCCCCAGCAAAAGCCAGTTAAACATGAGGTTTAATTATTTTTCAAACTATTTATTGCTTTTCTGTAATTGAGAAATTCAAAACTGGACAGCTATAAAATTTTAATTGACAGAGTTTGGATATTTTGTTTGACATGCTGGTTTATTATTTTACCATGAACATTGTAAGCCAAGGCCATTATTCAAATATTCATTCATCATAAACCGCTACCTCCCATTCCAGGATAAGGATATACCATCCTGCTTTCAACATTTCTCTCTTTGCTACTTTGTTTGCTTCCGGTGTCTTCTGTAAGTTGTTCCAGTTCATATTCCTCCAGCAGTGTAGAGCTCTGTTTATTCATTCTTGCCAGCATCAGGGATTATTTTACAAGTCAGCAGGCAAACTGGCCTCTCTTGCATTCACATGTCTTGCATTACTAGTCAGCTTAAATACTGTTTTGCATGTTTATTTGTCATTTATATTTCAGCTTCTGAAAATCACTTTCATGCTCTTGGTACACTTTTCTTAATGGTTAACAGATATTTATAAATACATTATATTCTTAACTATGAAGATCCTTACAATATCTTTTATGAGATTTGTTGCTAGCTTTTTATTCTTTGTTTTTCAAACTTGTTTTAAAAGATGTAACTTTGTATTTTTCTGAAATTATTCTTGAATAATTTCTGTTTTGGACTATACATTCACATGGTTCAAGCTTTGACAATGTTTAAGGGCATTCAGTGAAGTGTTTCCTCTCCAGTTGTATACCCTTTGCCCAGTTTTTCTTAATGGTCACATTTTGCAAAACTATAATAAAATATCATGGCTAGGATATTGACATTGATAATTAAGACAGAGCATTTCTATCACCTTAAGGATCTCTCATATTACTCTTCTGTGGCCACACCCACTTCCATCCCATAAGTCTCCCTGGACTTAACCCCTGGCAGCCACTAATCTGTGTCCCATCCCTGTAGTGTTAACATTTACAGAGTGTTACATAAATGAAATCGTACCATATATGACCTTTTGGGGTTGGCTTTTTTCACTCCACATAATTCTCTGGAGATTGATGCAGATTGCTGTGTGTATTAATAGTATGTTCTTTTTATTTCCTTTTGTTTTAAATTTTATTTTATTTTTTGTTGGGGGGTAGGTTATTTATTTATTTAATGAGATACTGGGGATTGAACCCAGGTATAGCTCTACCAGTGAGCTATACCCTCTCACCCTGTTCTTTTTGTTTCTGAATGTATTCTCTTGTACAGCAAATGGCTGGTTAACCATTCACCCATCGAAGGACATCTGAGTTGTTTCCTGTTTTCGGCTGTTATGAATAAAGCTGCTGTAAACATTTATTTACAGGTTTTTATGTAAATATAGGATTTCATTTTTCTGAGTTAAATGCTGCAGAGTACAACTGCTGTGTTGTATCGGAGTTGCCTGCTTCAGGAAACTGTCAAACTGTAGTCCAGAATGGCTGTACCATTTTACATTCCAGCCAGGAGCAGTTGATGATCCCAGTTCCTGCATCCTCACTAGCATTTGGTGTTGTCATTGTGTTTTATTGGACATTCTGATAGGTAGTGATATCTCATCATGGTTTTAATTTGCATTTTCCTGAAGGCCAGTGATACTGACCTTCTCTCATGTGCTTATTTGCCATGTAGTATATACTCTTCATGTTTTTTGCCATTTTCTAATTGGATTTTTTTTTGCTTGAGTTTTAAGTGTTCTTTATGTATTCTAGATGTTAGCCCTTTGTTGAATATGAGGTTTGAAAATATTTTCTCCCAGTCTGTAGGTTGTTTTTTCATTCTCATGCCAGGATCTTTCAGAGAGCAAAAGTGTTTAATTTGAATGAAGTCCAGTTTATCAAATTTTCCTTTTATGGATTGTGCTTGTGGTGCCAAAACTAAGCCTCATTCTAGTGCTTACAGATTTTATTTTTTTCTAAAAGTTTTATTGTTTTACGTTGAAGTCTCTGGTCCATTTTGAGTTAATTTTGCATAAAATGTCAGATATATGCCTGTGATGTCCAATTGCTCCAGCATCATTTGTTGAAGAGATTATCTTTCTGCATTGAATTATGTTTGCTCAGGGGTGTTGAAAACTCAAAATGTAACTCTGGATTTGTATAATTCTTTCAGTTCTATCAGTTTTTGCTTCACATACTTTGCTGTTTGCTGCTGGTCTTTGGTAGACATTTTAATTATATTAGTGGGTGGTCCTAGTTGACTAAAAATTGAATTTTAATTCTGTTTCTGAGCAAATTCTTTTTGGAATCTGTTCAGAATTATGTATTTTTCCCCTCTGATTTATCCTGAAATAGAGCCTTCTTTAGCATAAAGCACATTTTGTTTCTTAAGTGCTAATACTCAAAGTTCCAAGATGGGAATGGAGTGGCTGAGTTCTCTGTGACAAGACCTAAGGGTTATTGTGATATTGGGCTAATTGGTTGTAAAATACTGAGAGATTCAGTCCGCTAAAACATGAGCTTCATTCCTTTTAGGAAATAAACAAGCACACTTCTGTTGATTCAGAGCTTTTGGAAATTGAGAGTTTCACCAAAGGTGGTGTTAGCAAAATGATTAATAATATGGGAGTTAGTGGCAAAGTTTGGGCTTTGATCCCTGTTGTGCAAAGTCTCTAATAGTTTCCTCATCTATGAAACGGGAGTGAAATCTTTCAGGATTGTTTTAAAGATCCAGTGGGTCACCTAGAGCCTAGCACTCACTAAATGTTTTTACTGCCTTGATTGGAAAGAGGAACAGCACTAATGAGTTTGGGATCGGCTTTATTTCCAGTCCTGAAAAGTTTGCGCATGATAGGAACTGTTTCCTTTCAGTAGACATGGGTTTGTTCTTTGGCCATGGAGACGCTGAGCAGGAAAGTGTATGTGGCTGGTAAGTAGTCGACTTGACCAATTCATGTTTCTCTCAGGGGTCAGAAACAACGTCTTTAGAAAGTGAAAGCATGTTTTCTTGTATGCTTCACCACACTAATTGGCCATGGTACAGAGGACCTGCCTGTTTCGTTGGGTACACCTTAGTCATAGAGGTGCTCATCCATGTCCCAAGCCAGGTGCAGGAACCAAGTGCGTTGAGGGGTGTCCGAAACCAGCTTTGTCATGATTCCTTCTGATCAGGCATGTAGGAATTAGCAGCAAAACTGACTTCTCTTTTAAAGTAGTATAAAGATTTTTTAAAAAACCCAACAATGGCAGTGGTTGAGGGGAACCTCTGAGGCAGAGTGGGTTTTATGAAGACTCACTGAATATCTTAGTTTTATAGTGACTTTCTCTTCTATGGGTTTCATTTTGTTAAACCACCTTGATTTAACTAGAGACCAGGAGATGGAGCAAGAAAGGCCAGCTGGCAGGAAACCTTTAAATCCCTATTAGCTATTTGTCTCCATTTGACACAACACTCAGTTGAGAGTCTTTATAGGGTTATTGGGAAAGAGTCTTCTTTTTTTTTTTAATGGGGAGAATGATCTTGGTTAAATTTGGCAAAACACTTAATAGGTCCAGGTGTTCCAGAAGGCATGTGATGGCTTCATAAAGCCTTACGGATATTATATTACTTAGGGACAAAAACACACCCTTGGGCTGGTGACCTCATTGTCTTTACTCATGCCCTGTTCCCTACGTGTCTCTATTTATTGTTCTCCATGTCAAAGTCCAAGAAACTAGAATCAAATGTCCAAGGCAGACACTGACCCCCTCAGCCTCCAGGACCTGACTCCCAGTATTCATGAGGAAATGGAGTTTTTCTTTTTAATTGCAGTAGAGTTGATTTATAATATATTAGTTTCAGGTATAGAGCATAGTGACTTAGTATTTCTACAGATAGTACTTCATTATAAGTTACTATAAGATGATGGCTGTAATTCCCTGTGCTATACAATATATCCTTGTTGCTTATCTATTTTATATGTGGTAGTTTGTATCTGTTAATAGCATGTCCCTCATTTGTCCCTCCCCACTTCCTCTCCTCTTTGGTAACCACCAGTTTATTTTCTATATCTGAGTCTGTTTCAATATCTGTTTCTGTTTTGCATATACATTCATTTGTATTATTTTTTAGATTCCACATATGAGTGATATACAATATTTGTCTTTCTGTTTGACTTACTTCACTAAACATAATACTCTCTAGATCCATCCACTTTGCTGCAAATGGCAGAATTTCGTTCTTTTTTATGGTTGAGTAGTATTGCATTATATATATCCCACATCTTTATCCATTTGTCTGTTGATGGGCATTTGCTTCCATGTCTTGACTATTGTCAAGAGTGCTTCTATGAACATTGGGGTGCATGCATATTTTCCCATTAGTGTTTTCATTTGTTCCTGATACATACCCAGGAGTGGAATTGCTGGATCATTTGGTAGTTCTATTTTTAGTTTTTTGAGGAACCTTCATACTGTTTTCCATAGCAGCTGCACCAATTTACATGCCCACCAACAGTGTACAAGCCTTCCGTCTTCTCCACATCCTTGCCAACATTTGTTATTTGTAAACTTTTTGATGATAGCTGTTCTGACAGGTGTGAGGTGATATCTCTTTGTTCTGATTTGCATTTCTGATGATGAGCGATGTGGAGCATCTTTTAATGCGCCCGTTAGCCATCTGTATGACTTCTCTGGAAAAATGTCTTGTCAGATCTTCTTCCCAGGGCAATGCAGTTTGGATCACTAGGGAGTGAGGCCCATGGACAAGAGAAATTGACTCTCCAACAAACTGTAGGGAGGCACAATTATTTTTAAAAAACAAAACTGTTTTTCAAAGTTGCCCTCTTTAGGGAAGGAATTATCTGCATTGAGAAGCTTTTGTTAAGGGGCTAATGAAATCTGCTGCTCCCAGGGCCCTTCTTCCTATGGGAGTGATTTTTTTTTAACTAGTTATCCAAATAAGAATGCCTGTGGCATAAATTCCAGTTTTACTGAGCTCTTAGGTGACTGTGGCATCATTTACTGCAGGTGTTTCAAAACACAAAAGGATTCCAAC